GAGGTTGTGCGTTTTCTTGTGCTCATTCTGACCCGCGGTTGTGCATTTCTTGCGCTCAGCTTGGCCCGAGGTTGTGCGTTTTCTTGTGCTCATTCGGTCCAAGGTTGGACGCTGCCTGGCGCTCATTATGAGTGTGGAGGCTTTGAGAGCTTTCCTGCACAAGCTCTCAAACAGGGTGCAATCGGTAATTTGGTTACCTCAGGCGTGTAGTGATGGGAGTCTGGACAGCCTTGCTTGGCGCAGAGCTGAAGGCCTGAGTTTCTGGAAGAATGAAGGAGCAGCAAACTTGTCCCCCCCAAAACGACCCTGAAAAGAATGAGGTGGAGGAGTCCCTGCAAAGCAGAAAAGAAACATTATTGTGGCCACAGATAAAAGGCTACAAGTGAGCACAAAAAAAAAAGCAAAATGAAAGAAACAATTGCACACTGAGGGCACCTCAAAGAACCAAGAAAACATAAAAAGAAGATTGAGGCCAGCTTCTGGCCCTGTATTCTGGGTGCTCTTTTGGCTAAGTTAGCAAATGTTTTTTTACGTAGTTACTGGGAGGGGGCAGGGTCGAACCACTGTCCATGAAAAGGTTTCCAGGCAAGAGCCCAGCTTAGGCCTGGTTTCCACATCTTCCCCTACGTCCTGCATGGGACATCCGCCTTCGTCCTCCTCTGTACTGTACTTCCTTTTTGGCCTTTTCCTTCCCTTTTAACTTGACGCTTCGTTCACCCCGTTCGATTCACCTGCGTCAAAGGCGTCAAGTTTGTGCGTTGGGCCTTCCCGCGTGCACAGGGCGTACGATTCAATAACTGACATTGCCTCAAGCCCTGGCCCTGTCAATATCAACATGAAGAGTAGAGGTGGCTTGATATTGCAAAATGCTTTTGGGTTTAATCAGTCCTTCAAGTGTCACTGTTGTGATGCTTGTGATAAACAGCAGCAACAACCACAATCAGGACCACAACAATAGTAACCACCACATCCACCTCAACAACAACAACAACAACTACTACTACTACAACAACAACTACTACTACTACAACTCAAAGCATGCATGTTTTGTTGCATCTTACTTCCACCGAATGGCTGAGGCACCCAGGTGAGGATGAGACCATGGAAAGCCCCAGTGGTGAACGTTGTGGACATGTTGGTGAGCACGTCTTTGCTCTTGTTGATTGGCTCAGCCATCAAGAAGGAGACCGGACTCTGGGACCTGGACTCAACAGTGGGCCACCTTTGGACTCAGTATTTTTTTGGAACTGTAGATTGGAACTAAAGGTCCAACGCCTTTAACTCAAAAGCTTGCACGAGGTCGCTTTAGTTCACTTGCAGTTGAAACCTTAAATGCTGTAGGGCAGCTTTTCGATGAGCAAACACTCAGAACGCATCTTTTTTCTGGTCCCATGTTTTTGTGCTTGGAGATTTCTGGCAGAAAGCGCCAGGACAACCTTCTGGAGTCTCAGTTCGTGGATGGCTTTAGCAGCGTGAATCTTTGTAGCAAAATCCAATAGTGGAAGCCAGGGCACAAACTAGATGGCAGTCAGAATGACATCTAACTTCGGTGCAAGCCCTAGCAAATGCTGTGTGTTTTTTTGCTAATACGCAGAGGACACTCAAACTGAGAGAGTCGGCCATGTTCTTGTATTGTTGCCCATGTGGAAAGCTCCTCCAAGCGAAAGTTCAAAGTTGGCCAAAACGACCAGCATGGTCGTTTGAACCAAAGTGATTTCCTGCCCTCAAGATGTTGGACATGGTTGGACAATTGGCCCCACAGCTCATGCACGCGCCAAGGATTCTGTGGTTCATCGGTGCATGCTTGGGCTGCCTTCTTCTGGTCGCTAGGCAGAAGAACGTGCCATGTATACCAAGACCTTCCATTTTGGCGAAGCAACACAAATTGCAGTCATAAGATGTGTGGTCAAATGAAGCCGCGTCCAAAGTAAGTAGCGTTTCAATGCTTATACAGATAGATATAAGTAATTAGTTTGCCACAAACAGGTGTCGGCCAAAGTTACCGTTTGGTCAAGACATGTCGCTGTTTCTGAACTGTGTTTTCTCACGCGGCAATATTGAACTGCAAGAAGTGCTTCAAGCAAAAAGTGTTGACCCAGGAAGCATCAGTTTTGAGTGGACAGGCAACACAAAGGCGCAAAGGTTTGACCCAGGTAAAGGTATGTGACGGTATATACGGTATGTGTATGCAGGAGACAGGAAATAATGACGAGATTTGTGATCACACGGACCCAGACAGCAAGGGGTCAAGATGAACAAGTATAAAACAACAACCTACTCAAAAGAATCTCAGACCAGAAACTCAGATTCCAAAGCAACTCAAATCAGAGACTCAAATTAAACTCAGATTGGACCCAGGAATAACTCAAAGAAAAACACAAGACACCGCAAATAACATTTGGCTTGAGTCTGGTTTGAGTTTGGTTTGAGTCTAATTTGTTTGTTTTTAGTTTTTGGTAGGACAAACTCAAATCGGACTCAATTTGGACTCAAATTAGACTCAAGTTGGCGTTTGAGTTGAGTTCTTCTTGAGTTTGTTTTGAGTTTATTTTGAGTTGATTTTTGAGTTTGTTTTGAGTTTTGCTGTTGAGTCTGTTTTGGATTTGCGTTCTTGAATTGTTTATGTTTTGTTTTTTTGTTAGTTTTTAGTAACTTTGTGTTTTGTTCCAATGATTTCAGCCCTGTCTGGTCACTGTGCATTCACAAGACGAGATAGCTTCCCATAGAGAATATAGAGATATCGCTGCTGAATCGGCGTTGACGTCATGACCTATGGCTATTAAGGGAACAAACTGCGTGGTGATGTTTCTAATCATTTAAGTTTACCACACCATGATGGTAATGATGGGAAGTGACTTGAAAAACCAAGCGTAGCAAAGACCTTCAAATTGCACAGTTGGAAGCATCGATCAAGTGTAGGCTTTTTTTGGGAGCGGGTCATGCTCATTTTGGGACCATCAGGTCTCGATCTACTTTGTGGTTCCAGTCAGCATGGCAATGTGTTCTTGCTACTGAGGACAAGATATGACTTTGTTCCTTTTACCCCGCAGTGCATCACTACATACTCTTGTTCAGGTGATTCCCATTTCGCTGGCCTTCTCTCATGTGGGACACGTCCGCGGACGCTTCATCGACCTGAGCCTCCAGAATCCGACAAAGGTCTCCGCAGCATTGCATCTGGTCACAAGCAGAATGTTCTGGTCGAAACCAAGAAGGTTCTGGTTGGGCAAATTCGACCCCGCAGGTGGTGGTTCTGGTTGTCCCACAGTCCTTGAATCAAACGGGGTTTGGAGATGTGATAGAGGCCGTCTTTTCAGAACATCAACACCAGGACTTCACCGGGGTTTCTTAGGCTGGCAATCACCTGGACCCGGCAGTTCACGCAGGTTACGAAGAAGTCCCCGTGTTTGGGCTTGGCGAAACGGAGGTCTGGGGCATCGTTTTGGCATCTCAAACACGAGTTCTGTCGCCATGTCGATGGCTTTGGGGATGCTAGCGGACTAGAACTCTTGCAGTCACTGGAAACATCTGGAAACGGAGCTCTACAGTCATGTTAAATTGTGTACAAGTTTACCACATGGGCCAGAATAATCTTTCTTGACTGCAGGAAACAAAACAGTCAACAAGTTTACAACAGAATGGAATGTAAGTGCTGCTTGAATGGATCGTCTGCCAGATGGCTGGGTTAGCCAACCGAAGGTGACAATTTCCTCATTTAATTTGACGGCATGTGCGACCCAGCCACACTAACCTTTTCCGCTCATGAGCCGAACAATTGAAAGGTTGGAGTGTGCCAAGCAGTTGGCACTACTGGAACAGTCTAACTTGGAATTGATGCTGAAGCACATCCATCCTTACGACTTGGAGGCGCTGGCCCTTGCCACTCGGTTGGAGTTGGGTCCGAGTTGGTCGAACTCGGCGAGGATCTGAGGGGTGAACCGGTGGTTCGTTGGTTTCAGTGCTCCGTTAAACACTGGCTGGGAAGCAATTTGGTTCAAGCAAGCTGTGTGAATTCATGTCAAGTTCTTGGAGTCAGTCTGCCTGAAGGGGGGGAGCGCTTCCTCGGGAAAGCTTTTGATAGCCGACCCCTATAGATTCCGTGGACTAAGCATCGGCCCTGCCCCTCCTTGTTCAGCAAGATTGACATCTAGACAAGCATCTAAACGAGCAAGTTTGCATGGGTCACCAAAGGTCATCAACCAGTTGATGTGTTTGTAATGTTGTTTTGGATGTCAGCTATTTGGAAGAACATATATAGATAATTGTGTCTAGTGTAGTTGAGAGGCAGAAGGTCGACAGCGTACAGGGTGTTCAAAACCCAGACCCCTGATTAAACTGGCTGAAGGGAGGCAACCACCAATCTCTTTTGTTTTGGAGGGATCCCAAAGACGAATCTCTTCAGGCAGAAGGATTCCCGTTCGACGAATCTCTTCATGGAGAGGGTTCCCTCTCTTGAGGAATCTCTTGAGAGCGTCCCTGTGAAGAATCGAAAGGAGCAAAATCGAATCGAAAGGAGTTCACAATTATAGGGATTCACTGTAAGATGGCACATCAAAGCAGGTTGCTGAACATGCAAAACATCGGGCACAAACGGTATCAACACACAAGAAAATCATAAAACCTGCAAAACATGCAGAAAACAACGCTGGCTTGCCCTTCTTCCACAAACAAGATGGGCTTGCAGGGATGAGCCATCTTCGTTCTTTGCTATGTCACGATTCCATGTTCTTTTCCTGTGCTGACCTTCCTCACCTCCTTTGGTGTGATCTCCTGTCCTCTCCTTTGTGTCCTGTCTTGTCCTTCCCTTCCTCTCCCTTTTCCCTTCCCTTCTTCCCCCCTTCCTGAGTCTGTGTCCTTCAATGATGTACTATAATCCGTTTGCTCTTCTCTTTCTGACCCCCTTCCTCACTCTGTGCCCTTTCAATGATCTACTACTGTAGTTTCCATTTGATACTTTATGTCCGGTGTGCCGTCTTGAGGTGCCGGGCCATGTGGGTACATGGCACAGTGCCATACTGTTCATTCAAAATGACCGGCGAACATTGATGGGCGTATGCACCAAATGGAACCACCTTGCATTTCCTTTCCTTTGCTTCCCATTCATGTTCATTCTCTCCTTTTTTCAGTACCTGCACCCCTGTGTGCCATCTTAGTGTCCCCCGCGAAAGAGGAGGGAGAGGCGGAAAGGACAAGAACAGGTGTCTCTCCTCGTTTCGGGAGTTGGAAAAGCACCGATATAGTTAGGCAGTCAATGTCCTTTCCTTTCTTTTCTTGAAGTTTAGGGTGTTGTTTTAAGGAAACGGATAAACATTAAGGATGTTCATTGATTTTTAACGACATTTGTAAAGATCAATGGTTGTTTTAAAAAGGACATGTCAATGATCAATTATATCACGAAAGGTAGCCCCAGGCTACCTGAGTTCTCCTTGCTTTAGCAAAAATGTATTACAATCAGGACTTGGTGCTGTGCCTAGAGTTTGGTCCTGTAAGAAGGGATTCTGTTCGACAGGGGGCGCCCTGCCCCCCCTGCATCATTCCCCCCCCTGCGCCGCCGCTGTTTGGGTCACGTCCATCCACCTTTGACGCCGTCATAGACTTCTACCAGGATACTTGTGATTGCCTGCTACCTTTCTTTCACCCCCTCCTCTCTCAAGTTCAATTATTTTTATAAATAACAGTGTATTTATGATTTAAATTGCAATTTGAGAAGATTTGTATGTTCTGTTGTTCTTCTTAATGCTTTGATGGTTTATTCATGTTTATTACCTGTGTGCAATTTTTATTCTCTACTGCTTTATACATTCCTAGCTCATAGTGAACATGGCATAAACACACACTTTTGCTTGTGCAATCTTTCATCATACAGTGATTTCCTGATTCAAATTAAATTGATCAATTCAATAGTAATTCTAGCCAAGTGTTTGAAAAGATCGGAAGATCTAAAAAGGACCTCGAAAGGGGCTAAAAAAAAGTTCAAAACAGATCCGAAGGAAGCAACGACGGATTCCACACGCTCCACACATACAGCATCAGGGCTGCGCAATGTTGGTGGAAGATGGTAGTCAGCGCAGTTCCACTGGTCCTTTGAGGAAGTCATCATGAGGATTTAGAACGCTACGCATGGGCTTGATGAAATTGATGTGTGTCTACCGGAGAGATGGCGGCGGTTGAAGGTGGTCGCTGAAGCGGTGCGTTTTACAGCTGGTAAACTCCAAAAGTTTTCTGAAAGTGGTCAATTTGAATAGTCGGCTGAAAGTGGTGAGCTCTCCATACACTTGACACTTCACCACATCACAATCCACATTGAAATTGGCTAAATCACCCGAACACACCACACCTTGGTGCTGATGAAGTGCATGTCCCAAATCGTCACAGTATCCTTCACCCTTCACCGTCTTGTGTTTCGTTGCAGCAGAAACTGGTTGCGTTCCATGTCACCACGTACGGTTAGCGCATGATGCTTCCTATTATGACCTGTTGAAACTTCCCCCCACCGTTTGTTCCAGAGCTTGCCTGGTATATAATGGCCGTAGATTGTAGATGATTCGGCGTCAGATTTCAAGAGCAGCAACATACATGCAGACCTGTGCTCGATGTAAATGCCTGTATACAGCAATCTGCCAACAGTGTGAAAGGAAATAATTGAAATCCTTGCCTTGTCGGAAGGGAAGCTTTTTTTGTGCGCGATGTTTGAATGTGCAGTAATGCCTCTAAGAGGACACATCGGACAGCAAGGACTGCACATGTGTGCGCAATACCAAAAGGCACGCTGGCAGTAAGGGGAGGACAATTGGAAACATGTTGTACTACAGGTGCCGTCAGATGGTGCGTGTGAAAGATTTTTCCGACAGTTCACCGCAGAGCTCGCGTTGGGATTGGGACTCTCTATGCGCCGTGTCCCATCTCAGGCCATCACTGCTTTGGAGGCTGAGGAGATTACGAACTCGTGTGGCTCGCAGCTGGTTCCACGGGCCCCTCGTTGCAATCCTGAGGAGAGTGGGAAACAACATTCTTTGGTTTCAATCCGTTTCAAGACATTTATATAAAAGGACTCGTCCCACCAACCAAACTGCGGATACATTTCCGGCTGCTGTGTGGCTTAGACCCTCCAAACCCATCCCAAACAACTCACGAATTAGTGTGAACCCCAAGCGAACCCCCAATGGACATCAAGTTAGCTTACATAAATCTGGCCATAAATTTGGCAATTAATTTGCTCACATCTTCAATCTTCAACCCGATCTGGTTTGAAGACTTCTGGCCAAGAGTTTTGTGAGATCTCCAATCTTCAATCCAGGGATCTGGATTGAAGATTTCTGGCCAAGATGTCTCTCACGTCTTCAATCTTCAATCCAGGGATCCAATAGTCTTGTGAAGTCTGGAACTGGGAAGAGTGATGTACACAATGAATGGGTATCTCAAGTCTGAAAACTGAATCTCAAGTCTGAACACAGGTTCATTTGACAAAGGCAACTCATGAAAGCATGTTTCGCCGCTTTGCTTCTTTGTGCATGTCCATGCGGCAATGTCTTCCATGTGTGCATGACCGCAGCAAACTGCTCGAAGTTGCTTCAACTTTTTGCTGTGGCCACTGTCGACACCATGGCAGTTCCTGGCAGCTGCAGCGTGACTTTGAATGGCACTCAAGCCGTTATGGTGCTGGATGTACATGGTCAGAGTGCACCAACAGCGGCCGCACCAACATCTCCCTTGCAGATCCTGATTCAGAAAGTACTTGACGGAGTGCCCAGAGATTCGTCGGCCGTGACTCCCCTATGCTGGCTCGTTGGTTGTCCCTGAGCAAGCTCCAGAAATTGGAAATGAAATCGTTTGGTGTCCACCGCTTTCCTTCGCGGATCCAAGCAGGAAGGACGTATCCTGGGGCTGAACCACCGTGAACTCAGAAACGATTGGGCCTATAGGAAGGAATACTAGACAAGGAAAATATGGTTTAGTGACATTCAGTTGAAGAATGCCTTGCTGAGCCACTTGACCCCTGCATGTAAAAATTCATGGCACCCTATAGACGAGCGCGCATCGATGGTGGAATCTGCGGTGGTGACGACACGGACCATCGACAACCTTTTTGGCCGTAAACGTTGGACATCTTCCGCGTTCACAGGCATTCAAATTGACCCAGACGTAAATGAGGACATCACTCAAAATGAACATGTCAAAGGCATTCCCAACATATATATATATATATATATAGATCCCTCGAGATAGACGTAAGTCGTAAGGACCAGGCACCAGCCACTAAAAAGGAAACTGAAGGTCTCCGTGGCTAAATCGGTACTTTGCAGCACGGAGCAACCAACACCAGACCAAACTTGTCATGTCGGATGAGTTTACTTCAGGCAAAATCCCAAACGCCACTGTGGGAGACTCGAATCCATCCCAAGTTCGCTATTTTTATGATGCGGCCTTCGCTCCAGAGCTCACTCTCCATGGGGAATCCTTTTCCTTGCCACCACGGAAACTGTTCAAGACCCAACATTCAGTCCCATCGTGTAAGGTTCCAACAAAATCTCTTGTCTCGTTGTTTGCCTTCAATTTGAATGAAGGGTTGGTTGATACTCCTCAATCCGACCCGGATATGGCTGCATGCATGAATGCCTATGTGGAGGGGGAGAATACCTTCCTTTAATGTATCCTTGATGGGGCATCTACAAAATTCTATACTCACCGCGTTGGGGTACAACGGCTCCTACAGTCGACTGCGGCAAATGCTGGAGGCACGCAGACAATGTCTCTGTTCGTTGGTCCCACACAAGTTGCGGGTCAAGCATCCACTGCCCAAGCTTAGCTTATCAAGAGCTCCTGAAAGGGACGTTTCTGATGCTAATGTGGATGAAGGGACTCTACGGCATCCAACTGATCATCAGCGATGATATCCCTGAAGGACCGGTTCAACTTTGGTGGAACTAGCGCTGAAGTCTCACGTTCTCGACCTGGTTCGATAGAACCTTCTTCATGGAAGAGCCGACTCCCCAAGAGCTCCGTCAAACCCGCCACGACATCACGATACGCCAAAATGTCCCCTGTGATTCGACGATCAGCCGCTTCTTGCCTTCACACCTCAATGAAGAGCTTCTCAACAAAATACGATTGAAACTCTTCCATGCCCACAGCTCTTTGAGCCATGCAAGATTGGACTCATGAGTTTCGTCGGGGTTCTGTATTGTGCTGTTTATGGCGCGCTCGCAGCCTTCGAACTGTCTTCGTACCGTGGTTTTCCCAAGATTCTGCCAAGCGTTTCGATGATGGCTTTCACCCGCTGAAGTGAAAGGACGCGATTTTTGGATGGTCCGTCACACACTGAAAGGCCGAACCGAACCTTCACGTCGAATCCTCGGTGCCAGATGGTGCTAGTGCTAGAGGCTGCAAGTGTTCAGTCGGCCACAGTTGGGCCAGAAACTCAGCCTTCTTCGGCCAAACTCAACTCAGTCTCTCCAGTGCTTGAACTATAAGCCATGAGGTGCTTTTGGACCTGGCTTCGCAGCTGGAACCCGGGTGGCTTTCGAAGAGCTCCTGGCTTCGTCGGCCACTCTGAGCTATGCTACCAGTGTAGATTCCCCACACTGGCGCGGCCCCTTCTTCCAAAAGACTGCGCGGCCGGGCACCTTCTATATGGTCGTCCACAACCTTCCAAGCCAACAAAGCCGTCCACAGCAAAGCTCAGGCCACGCTTGAGCTCTCCGAGTCCAGCCTTCCTTCAAGGCCACAAGCCAACCGATGCAGCACTGCTTACTGAATCACAAGATATATTCCTATTATGGATAAATAGATATAATATCAACATTGGATTAAGTAACCTCCCCTATTACTCAAGCCCAGCTCGAGCCGCTAATACTAAACTAATTTAAAACCTAGTACATCACCCTGATAGAAAATGTTTCCTAGCAGAAACCTCCCCCTATTAATCAAGCCCAGCTCCCCCAGAAAAAAAACAAAAAACAGAATCAGTTCTATACTTCTGTATTATCGAATTTCTTTCTGGACAGTATCCAATATCTTCTGGTCCATGGTGAGACTGATCTTCTGATCCACCCTTGTCTCATGCCATCTCTTTGAGATAGCATTCTGATCCACCCTTTTCCGATGCTGATCCTCTCATCCATCATTCTGATCATTCTGCTTGCTCTTCTCATCCTTCCCAGCCAATGTTTACTCATATGGGATCTTCCTCCCCAGCCTCTTCGCCTCCTGATTTTACAAGCACATTGTGCATCACTTTCAGAGAAGTTAACCGTTCTTCTGCCCAAGTGATTGGAACTTCGCTTTCGTCAGCGGCCAAAAGTTTTCTTTCGCCCAATGCATTCCCCACACTGGTGCATCGGAACCCGTGGGATGCCGAATGTATCGCCTTTGGCCCAGGTGAAAACCACCAGCACAAGATCCATGACCTCGAAGAACGCAAAGAAACCGGAGAAACCATCCGAGCTTGAAGAGGCGGCCGAGGCGGATGGTGAAGGAGCAATTGCGGAGATGCAAAGCATCAGCAACTTGATTTAATTGCGCCGTTTTCAGTTTTCAGCGTTGTTTGTTGTGTTGCTTTCCTTGCGCTGCTTCTTTGTTCGATCCCAATCTCGAGACACTACCCACGAGCACTGCACCTCCGCAGCAATTCACGTTTCACACACGAAGCGGACGCCCCAAAAATGTCAAACATATGGAAGCAATTAAAGTTCCTTTGATATTAATACTGGCGATTTTCCTTTGATATTGGCTAGGTAGGTTATTATCACGATGTTGCTGTGAGTCAAATCCACCCCCCCAAACCCATGGGTCGCTTCACATGTTTGTGCATCACGACGGTCACGAGGGTCCCCAGATCTTGGCTCAAGAAACGGCATTTGTTGGCCATTTGGGGTGTGTTTGCAGAATACCTTCTACTGATACTTGTTGCACCGGCGAATCAAATCGCGAGTGGTTGATATTAGATGGTTTCTGTTATTTTGTTTTGAATGTGATCGTTTTTTGAGGCAACGATGTTGAGAGCATCGTCACCGACAACGACCCAGAGCTGGAAGAGGAGACTTGACTGCCACAGACGGACGTCCGCCCCTGGTTTGGAAGACATGGTCTTGACTGTGTCGGTGTTTTTTTGGGACGAAGCGATTCGAAGGCAGCCGGTCAATTGGATGTTGTGTTGGGGGGGTTGCGAACACGCATACATACATATATAATCATATATATATATATGTATCAATGTATATATATATATACCTAAACACACTTCACATTAGTCAGGGCAAAGTGGGGTAGGAGGGCAATTGCTACTAACTGCAGTTTGTGTTTGGAACCAACATAACATACTGACTTGTTCGCCGTTCACAAGTTTAGTGCTGGTCCTTTGGTGAAGTCAATGCGGGTTGCATGCGCTCAGGGAGCACCCAAAGGTTGTGTAGTCAAACCACATTCAATAGTTAGGTGATCATTGTTGCCTTTGCGCATTTGGCATTTGGTAAACGGACTTCCCCTGACCTGCATTGAGGTTTCTGAATTGCCAGGCAGATGCACTGATTTTACCTGAAATGTTTTCCCTTAGCCGGTGTGTTCATACATAGTTAGATATGTACGAAATCTTTGGAATACACAACATCCAGAAACAATTGGTTCAAACGTCTTCTTGACACATGATGCATGCTACTTCTGAATCGACACCTCAAAACTAGGGCCCCTGTTGTCGTGTGCTTTTCTGACACCTCAGTTCTTCAACCTTTGCCTTTGGCAAACTGAATGATGCGTTGGCATGTTTTGACATGTGCTTTGAGAAGTAATAAACATCTCCTTTTCTGCATTTTTTTTGCCCTTCGATGTCCAGACCTTGTCAGCGAAAACGTGCTTGGAGCAGTGTGCTTGGCTTCCAGGTGGTCAAAGTCTATTTGGACTAGACCTCCGCGCCCATGCAAAGCATGCTGTGCCGCTGGAGGCCGCTGGGCCACAGCCGCGGTGGTTGTGGGCCACATTCCTTTTCTGACATTGGACGCTTTTTCAAATCTTTAGAGGTGAAAGATGACCTGCCACCAAAACAAATGCGGCAAAGACCGAGGACTGACGTTGAGCCTCCTGAAGGACACCAGGTTGCAAGCAATCATGCATAAATGCATCGTGATACCCTTGCAACTTGCAACAAACTGGCCAAGCCTGTGTCAAACCTTGCACACTTCATCCAGTTGGTCATAGGATGTCGTACTGTAATTAGGTCAAATAGGTGCAGGGTGTCTAATCCACGACCAAAGGGTCTCAACGAAGACAGGAAGTGATCTAAAGGTACATGTGATGGACAAGTTCATGTGTTCTTCAGACCTCGGGAAGTGCCTCTTTTTATAGAGGCCGAGCGAGATGGATGGCTACTAGTGTGGCTACTATAGTATCGGAATCCAGGAAGGCTGCAGGACTGGAGATCAACTGGAGATCCCTCTGTTAATTCAGCACAAAAAGGCTCAGCCAACATGACACTCACTCTTGGCATTTGTCTATAGCTCCGCACCAGTCTCGGTACCTTATCACCGCAAAACTTGACCCTGTGAGCCTCACCGCCCATATATACAGATATAGAGTCGGGATGTTCGACTCATGCGAAACATACCCCCTATGAATTCCCTTCTGGAATTGCTACTACTTTAGTCTTGGCACCGTGGGAAGCGTACCCCCGAAGCAAACCGGCAAAACAACAACTCCCATACATATATTGCTAAAAACACGTAATATATATATATATATGGTACCTTTTTCTATGAGCGCATCGTGTTTAAATTGTTTTTTTTGCAGTGCAGTTGCTGGCCACTGTAGTATTTTATGTTTGTTTTCAATACATTTCGATACCTAGTATACATGAAAAAATGTTGAGTATGTGTTTGAAATCTGATAGATTAGTGATTAATATGTTTCCCTTTGCCCCGGAGGATCCGGCCCCCCTCGTGCACTGCAAGTGAAGATTATGTTTTAAATTATAAACAATGCAAAAAAAACATAAGACGTTCTTTAGAATCGAGAGATTTTCCTGGAACCAAGAACCACGGTTGCACAGAAAGTCTTGGGGAAAATCTTCGTTCTTGGTTCTTGCTTCCAGGAAAAGTTCAAGAGGTTTAATAAAACATTGTTGATTTTCAATACTATGCTCATCAGAACCACGATTGTCTCGAGACATTCTGCGCAAGCTTGGTTCTTGGTTCTTGCTTCCAGGAAAATTCAAAGATTTTAAAGAAAATCCGTTTCTCCCTAAGACTTTCCGTGCAATCTTTGTTCTTGGTTCCATGAACATCTAGGATTTCCTAAAGGTTCAGCTCACCTCCCATCGTTTCTACAGAGGTTATTAGCTAGAGAAGGTGGTGAGAAGGCATTGCAGAGGCTAAGGGGGGCTCTTGACTACAGAAGGTTCTGGGAATCAAGGGAAAACATATAACTGGTCCTTCAACGTTCTTGAAAGAGATTGGCAAGGGTGTTCTAGAAGAGAATGGAAAGGAACAAACATTGGAATGACAGGATGAACAACGTTGCCAGAAACCTAAATGAGCACTGCAAACAGCATAGAACACTTTATGCCGAAGAAAGGAATGTAGCAAATAAGGAAAAGGTAGAAGACCGATTGGGTTTGAGAAATGCCCATTGGAGCCTTTCGGCATTATACAAAGCAGACACTTTATATTTCAGACACTGGTGGGGGCAGTTTGAAAAGAGATGTCTTTGGACTTTGGATGCCCGAGGGAGTCGATTTGAGAGTGCCTTGGGTTGAAGGACCATTGTGCCCAAGTCCTTGCCAGGGGAGGTGTTCGAATCGTTCCAAACAGGTATAACTTCCGTTGATAAGCCACCTGGGGTCTTCCGCAGGAATGCTCTTTTGCACGTGGAAAGCATGTTTTCACCAAGTTGGTCTCCAGATGCCATCAGCACCTTGTGTCTCCTGGCTTCTATGATGCAGCTCAGCCAGCGCAACACCGCCGCGAACAAGCAGAACGAAGTCTGTGCATGCGCTGCGGTCGTGGGTTAAAACCCACTAGTTCACCTTTCGGCTCGGGTTTGTCTCTCGAAATACACGAAATGAGGCCCCATGGATGAATTGGAAGCCGTCCAAGTAATCTTTTTTTAAACAAGGGATATACGGGTCTTCGGGTCCTCCTCATCTTGTGGACAAACCCGACATTGGGGTTCCATTGCAAGTGTGGACAGGGGTCTCGGAGCTGAGCTCGGGTCCTCTGCCAGATCAGGGAATCCCCATGAAGACAAGGTGGAACTATCATGATGATTTAAGACCTAGGTTTTGACAAAATATGAGGGATTACGTGTCGCATAAAAAAAGTATTGAAACCATTGCAGGCCGTAATAATAGGGAAAGAGTTTGACAGGACAAAGACGGGGGATCCAGGGTTGAAGTCTGAAGTCTTCCCGTGCAACGCGCAGGTCCCAGAGTCCGACGTTGTACGCAAGAGGAGAGTGGTGTGCGTTGGTCTTGAAAGAACCCATAGTGGTGTGCGTTGGATAGAAAACGACGTACTATGTCAAACATATATTTATATATTCAACACGACATGTCAACGCACCCCACGGACAATTGTTGCATTCAAAAGATTTACCAAGCAACCTTAGAGTCGAGGATTTTGAAGCCCTGAAGATGCAGAGTTGGTCAAGAAATGCGCAATTTGGTTGTTCACACTCACTCACACGTCTTTTTGCGAGCGTGGCTCCAAGGGGAAGACAGGAAACACCCCTGTCACCTTCCCCTGGCTCGACCACGGTTCCAGCTAGAACTGGATACCATGTCCCAGCAATGTATATATTATATAGATACGTGAATGGTCAACGGGGGCGAGGATTTTAATTGCCTTGGCCTCATCAGTTTGCTCCGCTGCTTCATCAATTGTTTGCGGCGCGGGCAGTCGCTCTCTTGACTTTGTAAGTTAATTACAGAAGAGACCAGGTCAGTTCATTCATGCTCATTCTGCATGCTGTATCACCAGAAACATTTGTACTCAAAAATGACCAGGCTATGTGAATAAGCATCGACTGGCCGGATGGTGCTTCAAGAACCCACGGAAGGATGGCGGCCCACAGTCGCCTGTGTAACAAATCTGCAATTGTATGAACAATGCCCCAACAAACATGCGCAGACACGGTTGCACTCAAACTGAAAACACATTAGTAGTGCTTTTGAGGAACGTGTAAAGCTGTGAATGTGCAGGACTGCTTTGTCCATTGTCACCTGATGAAGGTGCAGAGTTGCCGAGGTGTGCTTTGATCGCGAGCAAAGTATATTCACTGATGCACGTGGACGGGTTTTGTTTTGCTATTTGGCACACGGATTGTTTCGAGATAGTAGCTCACCAGCTTGTCAAGTTTCTTGTGCATGCACCAAGAAATCAGAACAAGAAGGTAGTAGCAAGAATCATCAAGAATCATCAAGAATCATACCTTTTTTAACTTATATACATAATATATATATATAATTGGTGCCCTGGAAACAAACTCAAGCGGAGCTAAAACAACGCACCGCAACAAACCATTTTTGTGTCACGTATTTTTTTCCGAATGCGTACCGAAGGGTTCTGTTTTATAGTGGGGGTGTGGGGGTTGGACTGTGTTCGCCTCGCGTGCTGTTTGTCGTCGTCTCGGGTCGTCGTGGGGTGTGGTGGGGTGTTTAATTTGTCCCCATTGGGCGAAGCTTTTGGAGAAATTTGTCGATGGCAGGTGATCGTCAGATTCGTCGCACAGACCGTGGTTTTGCGACGTTGGATGGGGGAGGATGAATTCACTGCGCAGGTGCAGCGTTTGGTGAGATCCGCAGTTTTCTGCGTAGTCACATTGGTGGAGGGTGGTGTTTTGGGGGTGTTGGATGTGGCTGTGCCATTGGGATTTGCGTTTCAGGCTGTTGCTTCAAAGCTGTGTTTTCGCGACAAGTCTCAGCTAGAATGATGGTTTGGTGGATGGGGGTCGGAATCGTGCTCAGAACGTGTCGACATCATTCAAACGTGTGGTGTGGTGCAAATTTTGTTGAAGCTAACATGATATGATATTGTCACCTGCAGTACTTTGTGCGGATTTTGAGGTGTGGAAGTGCGATTTGCGTGGCAGGCGCAGGGAAGCAAGGTGTGGTGGAGGTGAATGTCGCTGTGGCATTGGGATTGGCGTGTGAGCTTGGAGGGGCTGTAATCGCGAAGCTGCTTGGCAGGGCTGCTTGATGTGTGTGCTTCGATGGAGCTTACCGCTTGACTTTTGGAGGAAGTCTCGTACGAAATGCTCGCTTTGGAGACTTTGACACGTCACTTTTGGAGGAAGTCCCGTTGTGTTTTTTTCATGGCTTGGGCAGATTGGTAGTTTTTATGACTTGAAAAGTTGGAGAAAAGTAAAAATCATATAAGAACCATAAAGCACAGTGTGTTTTATTGTTTATATGTGATTTGCGCCCTTCTCCAACAATATGGATTTAATATGGATTCTTTACAGAAAAAATACGGTGGCTCCAGAGCTCCAGGTTTTGTTTATGGGGAAAATACACTTTGCAAAAGTGTGTGTGTGTGTCCACCCCTGGACAAAGGGTTCTCAACCAACTACGGCAGGGGGCAGAGGGATCTCCAGTCGTGGCCTCTGCCAACGAAGCTCCACACTGGACGATCAGGAAAACGTACCTGCGCCGTGATACCACTCCACTCTTCCTTGCTGTGTTTTGATGCCATGGTCGTTCATGTTTCTCCCCCTAAACCATTTCCTCCCCAGCAGCGCTGCAGCTTGAGCCGCTTCGTCACCGCAGTCAAGGGAAACAACTTTTGTTCAAACACCTACAATTTTCTCGGACTTTTCGCCATGCTGTTCCACCGCCATCCTTCCCAACGTGGTAACTGAGTTCACTGAATACAAGTGTCAGAGTGTGTGTTTGGTGTCGGGCCTGTAGGGGACTGCCATCACACGCCCCGCCCTAGGCCCTGGGCCCTCCTCACAAGTACCCCCAAACCCACGTAAAACACCCAACCAGGAATATTGAACAGGAGCCCCAAAACCGGATCCTTGAGATCTTCCAGGGGCGGCTGCATGGTCACAGGAAGGGCACAGTGAGCACCCAACAGTACCGCATAATCCAATTGCGGTTTCATAAGAAAAGTGTAAAAGAACCGTAATCCCAGATCATATCCGAAACATAAAAATTCCATTAACAATTATGT